TTTAATAGTAGTTATAGTTATAGTTAATATATTACTAAAATTTCAAAAATAAATACTTAAATAAATTTAATAACAATAACCACGTAAATTTTGAATACTAAAAACAAAATCATATTTAAACAAATAAATTTTTGAACATTAAAGGTAAATCAGGTTTAATATTAAATAATATTTACTTTTGTTTATTAGATTTGAAAGAAAAAAAATCAAATTAAATTAGAAGTAGTTAAAGTATTTTCTTTTTTCTTATATCATGTCATAATATTATATATGGTATGATTTTTTCCGTTCATGATAATTTTTAAGTAAATCCATAAAAATCATTTTTAATTATTATTTTTTAATTATTATTTCTATATCAATAATTTGTTCTCATTATCATTATTTTGTTCTTGAATACCCTTTAACATATTTTTCATGAATATCATTTATCATTTTTGTTTATCATGATTACCATTATAAAGTTAATTTAAAAAGATTTTGATTTGTTTTAGTAATTTTATAAATTTAAAAAAAATATAATTTTAATTAAGAAATTAAATATAGTTAAAAAATAAAATAATTATGAGATATTTATCTTCTTTATTTAAATAATCATAATCTTTATTTTAGTTGGTTTCATATTCTTATTAATCTTTTCTAGAAACTTAAATATTTACATAATATCGTTAATTTTAATTGGAAGGGTGATTATTAACTTTTTAAGATTCCATTATCATCTATTTAAAACACAATAACAAAATCACATTAAAAATAATAAATTAAATTATTTCAATTTAATGAGTAACTTAATAAAAGACAATAATAATTATGATGAATAATTAAATAATAATATTTAAGTGATTATGATACAAATTTATTTAGTAAATAACTAAAATGTTTATTTTAGTAATAAAGTATATGTACAAACATCATAAAGTGATTGATTTCCATAAAAGAGCCTAATGTGTGAAATTTAATTTAGTGTAATAGTAGAAGATTGTATTTAATGTTAAGAAATCATTAAACAAAAGTATTTTACTGTCTAATAGCAGAAGAATGCAACACAATTACAATAAAATAAGTCGCAAATCTATAATACAGAAAATAACAGTAATAATTAATGTGTTTTGAATACCGATAGCTATTATGGAAATGGAAAAGTTAAATTTTAATCATTGATAAATTAAGGTTAATAAGTCATATGGTAAAATATTTTGAAGAAAGAATTAACAGTCAACTTATTGAAACCAAAAGAGAAGTTGAGGCAGCAACATAATCACCTTTTAAATAAATGGTATCCAAATTCAAATATCCAAAAAATTAATATATACCAGGTATAGTTTTCTCATTTTTACTTTACATAATCAATTACAATAAAGATAAAAAAGATATTCCTTTTTTTTCTTCAGTCACGATGCATGCATTTTTTCATTCATGCTTGACCACATCTCTATGCTTCATGACCTTGTCATACGATGATGTGTGGTTTATTATGATGATATAAAGATGTCGTGATGAAATTATGAATGATGATATGTTTTGACTAGCCGTGGTTGTATGTATTATGTGTTGTACATCATGCATTCATGACATAGTTTAGGACTTCGGTCCAGTGATGGTGATTAGGACTCTGGTCCAGTGATGATGGTAGGACAATAGTCCAATGAAGGCATCAATCTCATAGTGTGAATTATGTGCAAAATTATGAAGTGCTCTAGTTTCAATCGAGAATCGATCATATTGGTGGGGATCTTTGGAGATAACGATGACTGAGTCATTAGTGAAATTTTGGTACCATGCATGAGTCTATGAAGTTGCATTACATTCTATGTGACATTGTATAATAATTTAATTTGATGATACTTGGTGATAATTGGCGTGTAAGTATATGTTGTTGTACCTTGATGAAGTTGTGAAGGTGTGAGTATATCATGAGGTTCTAATGATGTGTGATGTCTTACCTATGTGCATATCTATTATGTTTATTCCTTATGTCTTTTATAATGATTATGATTTACTCACTCTTTCTGCTTAGAAATGTTGTCTCTATCTGTGGGTAACTTGTAGGTGATCAGGATTAGCCCGACGAAGCATTAGAGGATAGTTCGGAGTGTGTTTATTTTCTTTCTATTGAGTATATCAGATCTTGCTCTGATATATAACATCGAGGATGGGATCGTTCGAATTATGAACTATGTTCTTTGTTTTGTTTCTAAGATGTTGGGTTACCTTTCATGGTACCCGAGTTATTTTAAAATTCTATTTATGAATCATGAAGTATGATGAGATTTTATGAAGTATTTATAATAAGATATTTTGAACTATGATTTCTGCTGCGAGAAGTACGAATATTTCTATTGATTATTATCCATGAAGGATTTTTTCCTAAATAATTTTGAAATCTGTTACGAAGCAGGACTATGTTTGGTATGACGTTTACATGAAGATGTGACACCCTTTCATAGTTTTAATTTATTTTATTTTTGTAAGAATACATGTGAAAAATATGTGGATTTAGAAGGATGTTACACTGGTCATCATGGACCTTTGAGCCACATCCTCTAAATTTTAAGGGGATGGTGGTCGTCATCATCCCATGGCGGTCTCCATAATGTCGCAACGCAGAAAAAAATAGGAAAAACATTGCTCAGTTCACCCCCACCTTTCCTACCTTTTCTCCATGATTTCTACACGATTTGGGACACTTTCCAGGAACAGTAAACATTACATATTTGCACTTTTCATCAGTTTTTGGTATCCAAGTTCTTACGCACCAGAAGCAGTTTAGTTTTAAACAGAAAGTTACCTTTCAAAGCGATAGAGCTCTCACATCGAGGGACTATCACACCATATTTTAGGACTATTTTAAGTTTTGATCCGTTTAAGCATGCCGACATTAGAAGTATTTTCCAAGTTTTTCTGTTCGTTGTACTCGAAGAATTTTTATCCCAATTTGAAATTATTCCTTTCCATTATTTCAACTTTATTTTACAGGTTCTATTATTTTACCGTTATTATAATTGTTATTTTTGTTTTTGATTATTTCATATGTTCTTATTGTTGTTGTCCGAGAAATTGCATGTTTGCCATAAATCGTTTTCAAACCTTTAATATGTTTATGTTTGTGGTCAATAATTATAATTGCATGTTTGATTCAAAAACTATATTTGACTAAATTGTTTTGAGTTCAGTATGTGAGGATCGTCACTCTGGCGGAACTCGATATTGATTTGGCGTAAATCTCTTTTTAATAAAATTGTTTTTTGGTTCGGTTTTTAGTTTAATATTTAAAAGGTTTTGCGCGAAGGCGAAAACACAAAGGTTTCGAGCAAATAGCGCGAGAGTGTGAGGTTCGTACCAGATAGTAAAAATTAGAAATTAATTTCTAAACACAACAATAGCACTTTAGAATTAATTAAGACTTGTTAGTTTTCAAAAAGTATTTCGCAACTTAAATGGTTGAGCCAGAGAAAAATATTTGTGGTTTTTAAATATAGCACGGGTCAATAGAACAAGAGTGTGAGACTAATGTTTTTAAACTAATATTTTCATCTGAAAGTAATTTTAAAATACAACAAACGGAAGTGATTTATTGAGCCCCAGAGATACATTGGGAATCATATACCGGCCTCTCATATTTAATATATTTCCTAAATCTTACTCTAGTTCTAATTTTAGTTTTAATTATTCTCTTGTTCGAAGAAAAATATTAGTTAGTCTTAGATTTACAAAGTAGCAATAGGTTAAGATAAGTTTGATTACTAGTCTATGTGGGATCTATATCTTTTATCACTACTATGATACACCTGTGCACTTACAATTAGAATCACAACAATCATCTCCTCAAGAGAGATGTTCTCGACTTTCTCATTATTACTGGGATGTCTAACGTGGCCTCGAGAACTCGGGTTACTTGTTGTAAGTCATTGGGAAGATGTTTGTTCTTGGTCTTCGGTCATCTCGAAATCTGAGATGTAAGTCGTGGCTCTAGTGGTGAGTCAGAGTTGTGGCTATCCGGCCAGACATCCTGAATGTACACAATCCCCCAAGCGTGAGGCATAGATAGACAAAGCGTTTTCATCAGTAATATCGTCGTGATTCCTATCCGAGTAGACACCTCAAATATACAATTGTATTTTCAGAGATTCTCTTAGACAAGTTTGAAATTATCATGTCGATTCTATTTACTTTTAATTTGAGCTTATAGATTGCCTCTAAGTGTAAGAAGAAACACGTCGGCCTTTAATCATCTTAAATTTGAAAGGAACAATAGAACATATCCTCTATATTCGGCACAAACGACCAACAAATAGTTGCTTACATTGAGATAGAGAACTTAGGAAAAGATTCTAATGACATGATATCCTTACCATACATATCCTTTTGACCCAAATGTCTATCCTTGATGCTCTATATTAACACTAACACTGTGTAGCCTAAAATGTTCCTCCTGTAAAGTTAAGTTCCCACAGTAAAACAAAAAAGAGCTATGGAGTGTATAGGTGGCTATGAAATTTATTGATGTTTTGTCTAATTTATTAGCCACATAGAGATTTGGAGAATTATAGGGCTAACAGACATAGGACATGGTAGACAGATATGAAAGTTATGAGGTAGTTGAAACTGAACCACTAACATGTTTTTGTTTTTTTGGCGACAATTGATTGAGCATCCAGTACAATACACATTTTTTTTGCATCCAAGTAAGATGATGTGATCACCTTTTAATGTTCATTCGAGAGTTAAAACTGTGCACCTCCACTGGAAGAGATCACGCGACAAAGACCAGTTGGCGCGGAGAGTCGACTCGAAGAAGATTTTGGATTTGCGCTTGAATTCCCCACCAGCTCTTTGTCATCGATGGTAATGGAGATAGCCACGTTCCACTTCCACCTAACGCCCTCACTCGACAATGCCTTCAGGCGTTGTTATCTTAGTTCCGACAACGATTGCGTTGATGTGTCGTTGATGAGGGAGAGAAGGATGTCGACGTACTTTTGTACCTGATTGACAGGGAGTTAGGAAGTCGGAGCTCCATGACTATGCAGCCTTGACATACTCTTTAGGGGCGACGAGAGCAACGGTGAGATACTGATCATTGCCGAAAAGGGCTTGGATTTCCCTCCTCCGAGGGCTTTTTCACTAGGAGCTAGCTCTACATGTTCTCACCATGGTGCACTTTTGATGACATGATCAAGTGTTGGGGCGACAAGAAGGCTTTGACATCCGATGTCGCTTGGTTCGGTCCTTGTCAGTTTTGAGGCTTTGACACGACAAAGTTGTTCTGATTGGTTGAATGACTAGCTTCATTTGGTCAACATTTAACCTATTTGCAGGAAATTTGACGAGGGCCCTATAAGAGTTTTATAGGTTGTCGGTCGAGTGATACAGTTATCGAAATGAGAATAATTCTAAAGTGGATCATCCTCGCCAGAATATCTCTCCAACAGTGCCGACATCATAATTATTAGAACTTCTTGAATAGGATAATTCAGTATCGTCATCCATCAGAGTGAGATATTAGTGTGGTCTAAGAAAGTTTTACCATTTTTCACATATGGCGCCTTATGCTCATGGAAAGAACTGAATTTGATAACATCTTTGATGTTGGTCGAAAGAGGTCGCACTCTTAGTCTCATTAACAAAGATTATTGAGGACTTCAATGAGGGATTTTAACCTCTATTTCTTTCTCTATATCCCTCTTTTATAGTGACCCTCTTCAGTGAAATAATAATGTCATAATCAAGGCAATAATGACTAATGATTCGTCATAAACATAGTTGTTTTGTTGTCTATGTGTTCTATATGTGAATGCTTTCTGGTCTGTCGGTGTGATCTTGGGCATACCTGTCCGACAATGACCCCGGGTAAATATAGCCTCGAGGGCACCTGTCCAGGTGGTAACATAGCTATGACCCCGGGTAAGTATAGCCTCGAGGGCGCCTGTCCGGGTGGTATCATAAGCTTGTCCGCCCAAGGGTCCTGTCCGGATTATATCCCGGATGTGCAGTGCTTGGGAGAAACATAGAAGAAAGGTACTGAAAGAATAACTTGAGAAGAGCATAGTCATTTTATATTAATTCAGCTGTCCAACTTTCTATTTGCCATTTGGTTGTCTATTTTATTTATTTGGGAAATTAAGTATACAAGTCGTATTGTTTAGCAACAAACTCCTCAAAATTGTGCAACTAACTTTAGAGAGTAATAAAACAATATCAAACATTGATATTTAATATTACATACACATAGACATAACAATCGATAGTTTTCTCTTCATACTCTTTTTTTGCTTTAGACAATACAGAGACCGTTAAACTCTGTAGTGCATTATCTAAATACATGTAACAAACATAGTTGATCAAAGGTTTATTTGGTGAGTGCACATCAGAATGTACACATTATTCACAAAGAAGAATAAATGGGCACACCAGGTAAGGTTGCTCCACTATCAACAATAAAATTATTACCCGTAACATATTCAGAAGAATCATGAATTAGGTAACGAGCCAAAGATGTTAATGCAGGGTCCGAAGCAACTAAACTTCTTAACGGGTATATTTTAGTGACTACATTATTCAGCCAAGCTTTTTCTACTAATTTTTCAGTGATTTCAGATTTGAAAATTCCAGGAGATATTGAATTCACTCTTATTTTGTGTACCCCCAATTCCAAAGACATGACCTGCCAAATATCATCAGATAAAACGATATTAATATGCTGCGGTTTAATCATTATGAATACAATCAAATGCATTCACACTCGGCAAAACAAAAAACGATTACTTCATATGGTATCTTAATCTACATAGATCAAACAATGGCTGTATAGTATATTGCAAGACAGCAAAAAAAGTTACAAGATGTGAAATAATATTACCTTTGTTAGCATGTTGACGCCTGCCTTTGAAGATGCATATGCAACAGCCCCACTCAGAGTTCCCCGGTTTAAACCAGAAGTTGAGGAAATATTAATAATGGATCCCTTTCGCTGGGCATCACACATGCGTTTGCATACATATTTTGAAATCAACCAACAACCAGTTAAGTTAGTTTTGAAAACATCATCCCATTCCTCCTCAGACAAATTCAAGGCAGATTTAACACTTCCTACACAAAACAGAAAATAGTAAACATGACATGACAACTAAACAATTTTGGGTACAAATTCAAAATGATCTATACCTCTCACACCAGCATTGTTAATCAAGGCATCAATGTATCCAAAGGCGTTCCATGCCTTCTGAATGGACCCGTCGATGGTAGCGGAATTGGCTGAGACGTCGAGTTCCACAGCCACGGCTCGGAGGGTTCCGTTTCCGTATAGATTATTGATTTGATCGCAGAGGGAGTAGAGGCGGTCGAGGCGGCGAGCAGCGGCCACGATCCTGCAACCGGCTTTAGCGAGATCCAGGCAGAAGTCGCATCCCAGACCGGAGGAAGCGCCGGTTACTAACACCACTTTGTCGTCGAGCTTGTGCCATGGCTCTACCTGTTCTGTCGCCATTTTTTTTATTTATTGAGTTATTATAGATAGGAATTGGAATTAACGATTCTGTGCAAGCAAATGCCTTCATCTCATTATATACACGTAAAGAATAAATAAAAAATAATTATATTTAATCATTATCCATACAATATATATATATATATATATATATATATATATATATATATATATATATATATATATATATATATATATATATATATATATATATATATATCCCATAATTCCCTTAGTAGAGTATTGTAATTAGATATGTCGATCAGTGCTAAAGTAATAGAGGTCGATTAATTATAGTCTATATGCGGTTGATCGGGTTGTTCCTGGTTGGGTTATACCTAGTCTAGTCCTTTCTGGCCGGGTTGGGCCAGGCCGAGTTGGTTCCCCTTATAAAAATTAATAGATGGCGGTTACGGACGTTGTGAGCCATTGTGGAAGGTTACAAACGTTACAGTACTTATGGATCAATTACAGACGTTACAAGTCATTAAGTAAACGGTTACGAGTGCTATGATATGACTTAAATGATCATTAGACCAAAGACTTGTCTATATAAGGAGTCATTGGAGAATGAAAAGTGGATTCTCTCTCTCGATCTCTCTCTCATTATCTCTCTCTGTAACATGTGTAAGAGAGACACCATACATATTCACCAGAGGGCTCCTACATGAGAGATAAGTACGATATCATCTCTTGAATCGATACCTATTACTATGGTAGTACCTAAATTTCCCGATAAATCCATCCGACGATTTCCACTATCCATAGCAGAAAGACGCCATAAAATCTGATAAAACTTTCCTAAATCACACTAATCACATACCAACGATCATTTTCGTGTGTAAGGGGAAGATCTTTAAACACTTGGTTGTTTGTTATGATATATTGCAGATATTATCACAGATACGGATTCATACAGGACATGCTTTATGGCTACTACATTCATGAATTTTCAAGACATGCTTTATGGTTACATTCAAATAGAGGATGTAATTCTCATTCTTATTTCATGATTTGATACCATGTGTTAAACAAATATGAAGAAGCATGGAAACTTGAGAGATGACGAATATATTGGTAATACTGGGATCGTTATCTTAAGATTCATTCATGGAGATATTAAAAGGTAAGATGGTATTAAAGACACAAAATGTGTATTTGATGGTGGAGTTGATACAGTAAGTTCTTAGCAAATGAATTTATTGGATATAGCCTACTATTACATCTCTAGATGACTTTTATATGTAGGCCAATTTCGCATGGTGAATTTCTTGAGCTGGACATGAGTTTTCTGTCCTAATAGTCAGACACACGTATGGACTCGAAAGTTGAAGGAAACGAACCAACATTGAAAAGCATAAATCACCGACGAGATCAAGAGAAGGACATAGCCTAACTTATGCTTTAAGTAATTTTGTTATTGTAAAAAAGATGAGTTATGGTATTTGTCGTACGTAAATAACTCGTTTAAATTTACCAAGAATTAATGAGTGTCGTCCCTTTCCCCTGCGTGGGCGAGAGACACCCCGTCTTTTTAGTTATTAAATAACTAGAATAAGATGAGTTTAGAGGGTCGGAAAAACCGATGTCTTGCTAAAGATGATAAAATCCCATGGAAAAGTGGACGCAACACCAAGGTTTCACAAACCGGAAGATGAAGAAGACAAGTCAACCGGTTAAACAAACAGATTGAACTTGTTTCCTCTTAGAAAGATTTTTACACAAGGATAGACAAAACACAAATTTATGATTTAACTAGTTAGTATTTTTGTATAAGGCGAGCGATGAAGAAGACAAGTCAACCAGTTAAACAATCAAATTAAACTTGTTTCCTCTTAGAAAGATTTTTACACAGGGATGGACAAAACATAAATTTATGATTTAACTAGTTAGTATTTTTGTATAAGGCGAGCTATTGTCTCTATCCTTTGTAAACTAAGCTTATTTAGATTTGTTAAATTAAGTAAAGAGTGTTGTCCTTTTTCCCTGTGTGGGCGGGAGACACCTTCTATTGCTCCAAACTTGTAGAGAACGATGAAGATACCTTCTACTGAAGAAGTCAAAATGTCACATGAAGAAAACAAACTGAACATCTAAGAGGATAGATCAATCAACTAGACAAATTGACAAAATCTGAATGGAAGTCATAGGACGACAAAAACTATAGCCGAGAACAAAGCTCAATGTCTATAATCTTGTTTATTAAAAGGCACGACACGATCTCCACCGATGGTAGTTATTTAAAGAATTACTTAGAAAGTATCGGGTATCGTCCTTCTCCCCTGCGCCGACATGAGACACCCTACTCTTGTTAGTCCCAAAGACAGGTGATATTTTCAACATATATGTAAAAATAATATATAATCGGTTATGGTCGGGTAGTGCAAGTATAAACACCTGACCCAAACCTTTAGGTCAACCTTTCTAGGGGATCTGAGTCAAAACTGAAGTCCAAGCGCACTTAAAGTCTCTGGCACAAAAACCTCTTCGAGATCTGCACCTTGGTTTTGAGCTAGGCCAGCTCAGGTGTATTCTCTCTGGGCTCTGCACCTTGGGTCATATCTTGATTCAAGTCAGGTGTAACCTCCATCGCGAAGAATCTTAATTGGATTTCGTTTGGGTCTGCCTGAGGGGATTCTCTAAGGCTCTACACCTCGGTTCTGATCTTGAACCACTCGAGGGTAACCTTCCTTCCAGATTGAAATTCCCTTCCTAGTGGTCACTCCCCTCGTGGTACTTCCGTGCAGAAAAATATTTTCGAACTCTACACCTCGGTTCCCTCTTGGGAAATCTCAGGTGTAACCCCCATCGATGAAGAACCTTAATTGGATTCCGTTCGGGTCTGCCTGAGGTCATTCTCTAAGGCTCTACACCTCGGTTATGATCTTGAACCACTCGAGGGTTGCCTTCCGGGTTGAAATTCTATGCCTAGTGGTCACTCCCCTCGTGGTACTCCCGTGCAGAAAACTATTTTCGGGCTCTACACCTTGATTCCCTCCGGGACCACCTCAGGTGTAACCCCCATCAACGAAGAACCTTAATTGGATTCCGTCTGGGTCTTCCTGAGGGCATTCTCTAAGGCTCTACACCTCGGTTCTGATCTTGAACCACTCGAGGGTAACCTTCCGGGTTGAAATTTCCTTCCTAGTGGTCACTCCCCTCGTGGTACTCCCGTGCCGAAAAATATTTTCTGGCTCTACTCCTCGGTTCCCTCCGGGACCATCTCAGGTGTAACCCCCATCGACGAAGAACTTTAATTGGATTCCCTCCGGGTCTGCTCCAGGGCATTCTCTAAGGCTATACACTTCGATTCATATCTTGAACCGTCTCAGGTTTAACCTCATCGACGATGAATCTTAATCGGATTCCGCCCCTTAGAAGGCCTTGCACCTTGGTTCAAATCTTGAAACCGCTCGAGGGTAACCTTTCGGGTTTAAACTTCTTTCCAAGTGGTACTCCCTTTGAGGTAACTTTCGAGTAAACAATCTTTTCGGGCTCTGCACCTTGGTTCCGATATGGGCCTCCGCAGGTGCAAGATCCCATGTGATGTACCTTAATCGGATCCCG